GGCAGAAGGGGGCTAGCAAGCTCTCTGGGGCCTCTTTTATAAGAGCATTCATCCCATTCATGAGGGCTCCACCCTTATGACTTAAACACCTCCCAGAGGTCCCACCACCACCAATAACCTCACACACACACACAGCATGAATACTCTTTGTATTACTCATTGGTATCAAAGTGACTGGACATCAAGGAGAAGAGTAAACATTACTCTAGGACTTTACCTCCTCTCCTGGGGAGGGGTTAGTACATTTTTTGTTGTACACAGGAAGGTTGTATTGTATTGGGTGGAATTCTGTCCTTGTTAGTGTCTTGGCTTAAATTACAACAGCAGAGACCCTATTTCCAAGTAAGACTACATTCTGAGGTTCTGGGTGGAGTAAATTCAATCCAGTACCGATCTCATCTGTAAAATGGGGGAATGGGGGTCATAATGGTATTGATCTTCAGGTGGGCATGGGGTTAAGTATCATAGTTAATGTGCAGCCTCTCCTGTGGCACCACAGTTTTCATAAGCACTTCCTAAATGTGCTATCACCTAAAACCTTTTGTACCTTTCCTCACTCTCTAATCTCCCTAGCCAGCTCCTATGACCTGGAATTTTCCCTACCACATCAAGAGAGAAAAGCCCTGGTTCACCCACTGAGCACTAATTACTCCAAGCACACATGAGACATATATTTTTTTGCTCCCTTTCTTACCCAAATGAACATACCTGTCTTTCATGAACATACTTCTGAAATTTGTATCCCTGGGTATTTGAGAAATATATACTGGTCTGAGATATCTCATCTCCATACAAATAAGCAAAAACGAAATTACTTATTTCCTGGAAGAACACACACACAGAACAGTCTCTTTAAAATGAGATTTGGGGGGTGAGCAGATGCTGTTGAAGGTCACAAAGTTGCAGCCAGTAGATACATAACTCCTGCAGATCTAATGCACAGTGGAGTGATTATAGACAACACTGCTGTATTGTAAACTTCAAAGTTGCTAAGAGACTAGATCCTAAAGGTTCCCACCACTAAAGAGAATTGGCAATGATGTGCCATGATGGAGGTAACCCTACAGTGGTCATCATATTACAATATATGCATCAAATCACCACCTTGTACACTTAAACTTACACAATGTTATGTCAATTGTATCTCAGTAAAAAAAGGGGAGATTGATGCCAAAGGTTAAACTACCAAGCATTTATCCCAGAAAAATGAAAACTTATGACCATACAAAAATCTGTACATAAGTGTTCAAAGCAGCTTTTTTTGCAATACCCAAAAGTGGAGGCAACCAAATTCTGGTACGCTCAGACCATGCAATATTACTGGCAATGAAAAGGGACAGAGTAGAGGTATACACAACAAATTAGATGAGTCTCCAGAGAACTTAGCTGAGAAAAGCTAATCCTCAAGGTTCCCTATTGTATGATTCCATTTCTATAACATTCTTGAAGTGATAAAATTATAGAGATGGAGAACAGATTAGTGTTTATCAGGGGCTGGGGTGAGATGGGGCAGGGAGGTATGGAGCTCTGGGGTAATGGGACAGACAATCTTGTATTTCAATGGCAGCAATGGTTCTGTGATATGACAATATGATAAAATGCTAGAACCACACATACTGTATCCATGTCAATACTGGTTTTAGGATGATACTACAGTTATGTAAGATGTAACTGCTGGGGAAAGCAGAGGGAAGGGTCCATGGGACTCTGTATGATTTTTTTTCAACTTCCTGTAGAGTCTATAATTATTTAAAAATAACAAGTTCCAAAAAATGGAAGGTAGATGGATCTATTCATAGCATGCTAGCCAGCTGATCTGAAAGCAGCTTCAGAGCCCCTCCTGAGCCCTGGGGAAATGACATTGCCCAAGTCTACGGGTCCAGTCCCAAGGTGTAGGCCTGTCCTATTTCCATCTGTGTTCAGAGCAGAGTTAAAAAATGACACACCAGTCCGGCCGGGGTGGCTCAGTGGTTGAGCATCAACATAGGATCCAAGAGATGGAGGTTTGATTCCCAATCAGGGCACATGCCAGGGTTTTGGACTCGATCCCCAGCAGGGGGCGTGCAGGAGGCAGCCGATCAATGGCTTTCTCTCATCATTGATGTTTCTATCTCTCTCCCCCTCTCCCTTCCTACCTCTGAAATCAATAAAGATTTTTTTTTAAAAATGACACACTGTACTCACCAAGCAAAAGGGATGTTCACTATAACAACAATTGTCACCAGAAATATGTGAAACGGGGTATTTTATGCCTGAAAGGAAAAGATCATTTAAAAACTATGAGTTACCTGAAATTCAGAGAAAAGATCAGAGAGGGGTTTATCAGCCTGCTATTGACATTTGGGGCCAGATGGGTTTTGGTTGTGGGGTCATCCTGTGTACTGTGGGACATTTTGCAGCACCCCTGCCTCTAATGACTCAGTGTCAGTAGTGCCTTCCTGCAGTCTGGACATCCAAAAATACCTCCCCACATTGCCAAGTGTCATACAGGGGGCAGAACTGTCCCCAAGAACTGTGCCCAGTTGAGAAGCACTGGTTTTGTGGACACTCTTTTAGGATTATGCCAAAATTGCAGGAAGAACGCCCTTCTCTTATCAAGGTGTTCTCTGATTCCATTTTATATGCAGAAACTTTGGCTTGAAAGGAAACAGAAAACAACCAGTATTGGAGAGAATGTGAAGAAAGTGGAACCTTCGTGCCCTGTTGGGTACGGAAACGGTGCAGGTGCGGCAAACAGTGTGTCAGTTCCTCAAAGAACTGAAACTAGAATGACCAGATCATGACTACAGAAGACGTGCAACTTTAACACAGACAATGAAGAAAGACATCGCCATTGTTAGAGATTTTGCTTACTTTGCTTCAGTCACCAATTCAAATGGAGACTAAACTCAAGAAATCTGGAGAAGGCTGAGGCTCAGAAGGGCAGCAGTGGGAGACTTCGGAAAGATCACCAAGAGCCAAGCTGTGTCCTTAGAGACCAAGGCTACAGTCATCCACACCCTCGTATCCCCAACTGCTATGTACGGATACGAAAGTTGGACAGTGAGGGAGCCTGGTAGGAAAATATAGATCCATTTGAAATATGGTGTTGGAGGAGAGCTCTACAGATACCCTGAACTGCCAGAGAGACAAACAAGTGGATCCTGGTGCAAATTAAGCCTGAAATATCGCTGGAGGCAAAAATGACAAAACTGAAACTGTTCTACTTCACGAACATGATGACAAGGAAGGGGTCTTTGGAGAAGACAGTAATGCTGGGGAAAATAAAGGGCAGCAGGAAAAGGGGAAAGGGAAATATAGGATGGACTGACTCCATAAAAGAAGCCACAGGCCTGAGGCCACAGGAGCTGAGCAGGGCTGCTGAGAGCAGGACGCTGTGGACATTGTCATTCAGAGGGTTGCCAGGAATCAGAGCCAACTCAATTCCACTTCTGGGTGTATACAAAAAAAAATTTAAAGCAGGGAATCAGGAAGATATTTGTATATACATGTTCAAGCAGTATTATTCACAATAGCTAAACCACAGAAGCAACCCAAGCGTCCATCGGCAGATGACTGCAAAACAAAACGTGGTCCACCCAGACCATGGAATGTTGTTAAGTCTTAAAAAGGAAGGAAACTCTGACACGTGCTATAACACGGATGAGCCTTGAGGACATTATGTTGAGTGAAATAAACCAGACACAAAAAGGCAAATAGTGTATGATTCTATTTATAGGAGGTCCCTAGAGAAGTCAAATCCAGAGAGTCAGGAAGCAGAATGGTGGGTGCCAGGGGCTGGGGGGCAGTTAGCTTTTTGGACGCCATTAAGGAAACTGATGGAGAGAGGAAGGATGGACTAGATTGATTCACATTACAAGGAGCCCTGATGGTTCCTCAATAAGTTAAATATGGAATTCCATATGACCCAGCAATTCCACTCCTAGGTATCTACCCAAGGGAAATGAGAACACACATCCACAGAAAAACTCGGACACCAATGTTCACAGCAGCTCTACCCACAGTGGCCAAAAGGAAGAAGCCACCCAAACATCTGCCAGGTGATGAATGGACAGACAAAAGTGGCCCATCCTCAACTGGAATATTATTCAGCCATAAAAGGAAGTGAAGCAGTGATACTACAACGTGGACCAATTTCAAAAACATTATGCTGAGTGAAAGAAGCCAGACACAGAAGGCCATGTATTGTACAATTTCTTCATATGAAATGTCCAGAGCAGGCAAATCCGTAGAGATAAAAAGCATATTAGTTGTTGTCAGGGCCTGGGGGAGGGGGATAGGGAGAGACTGCTTAATGGGCACTGACTTTCTTTTTGGAATGATGAGAATGTTCTAGAACTTGATAGTGGTGACAGTTGTACAACATTGCAAATGTACTAAATGTCACTGAATTGTACACTTTAAAATGGATAGTTTTGTATGAATTTTATGCCCTCCCCCCCAAAAAGGAAAAAGAACCATGAACTATGAGAAGGAAAATAACAGAACGGGGCCCTGCCAGGTAGCTCAGTTGGTTAGAGCATCGTCTCGATTTGCCAAGGTTGTGGGTTCGATCTCCAGTCAGGGCACATACAAGAGTCAACCAGTGAATGCATCAATAAGTGGAACAAGGAATAGATGTTTCTCTCTTTCCCCCCCTTCCTCTCTCTAAAATCAATAAAAAAAGAGAAGAACAGAACTGCACTGGAAGATCAGGAGTGCAGTCGAGATGAGGAATGAAGGAAGGGCAGTGTGAGGGGATCTGGAAGGAGACAGAGGAAGGCAGAGGACTTTGAGGCAGTTTGGTTGTGGGTGGGAAGTTCTGTAACATGTTGGTCAACTGAACGCAGGTTTGTGTTAGGTTCGGGTGTGATACACCGATGAGCTGGTCCTCAAACTGGCCCCCAGGTAGCCGAGCCTTACTTGGGTTACGTACATTCTCTAGGGCTCATTTATATACAGGACCCACACCTCCACCAAGGGGCTTGGAACACTCCAGGTGTCGATGTACTAAAATTCACCCAATCACCTGCTGACAGTCAAACTGGAACACTAATGAAAAGTAAGACAGAGGCCAAGTCGAGGGGGACCCTTCTGCTGTGCTTCCGTCCCTCCCGGAGGGCTGTGATCAACTCACCAGCCAGTGTTTAGCGAGCACCTGGCAGGTGCCCCGTTGATGGGGGCAGGGTGCCATCTTGGGGGGCCCACGGTCTTTCCCCAAAACTAATATAAGTGAAGCAAAAGAATAACAAATTGCCAGATGGTGATCTACCAACCCAGGGGTTCTCCACTAAGGGGATCTGGACCTTCCAGGGGGCACTGAGTGTTGTTTGGAGATATTTTTGTTGTCAAGACTTGGCAGGGGGGGTGCTCCTGGCATGGAGTGGGTAGAACCCAAGGATGCTTCTCAGCACCCCACAGTGCCCAGGATAGCCACCCCCCAGAATAATACACCCCTGGATGTCAGCAGTGACAAGGGGGAGAGACCTTGTACCTCACCTACACTCCCTCTGCTTTCTTCCCTTTCTCTGAAAAAAGAGACGGCCATCCCTCTTTTCTAAAGAATAACATCTCCCATCTTTATTCTTTTTAAAAATGTTTTTATTGATTTTAGAGGGAGAAAGGAAGAGAGGGGCAGAGAGAGAGAAAGAAACATCAATGTGAGAGAGAAATATCAATCAGTTGCCTCCTGCATGCACCCTGACTCCTGGCCCGAGACCAAACCCACAACCTGGGCATGTGCCCTGACTAGGAACTGAATCAGTGACCTTTTGGTGCACAGGATCATGCTCAACCAACTGAGCCACACCAGCCAGGGCTCCCATCTTTATTCTTGACCCCATCTCCTTGCCTCCTACCTCAGGGTTCTCTCCTTTCTCTCTCTTCATCGAACTAGCCTTCTCTACTGTTCCCTGTCCCTAATACGAAGTACATGGGACTGAATATCCCATCAACCAAGCATCTAGGAGTCATTCTTGCCCAGAGACGGTTTTTCTGGCTTGTAACTATAATCCACAGTGGAAACACTAGGTTCCCACCCTATACAATGGGGATTCAGGCCAACTTCCATTTGAATTTTAAAGAATAGCCCTGGTGGGTGTTGCTTTATGGTAGTGTTGACTCAAGCACGAAAGGGTTGTGGGTTCGATTCTGGCCAAGGTCACATACTGGGGTTGCAGGTTTGATCCCTGCCCCAGCTGGGGTGCATGAGGGAGGCAACCAACCAATCAGTGTCTCTCTCTCTCACATCAATGTTTCTCTCTCTGTTTTTCTCTCTCTCCCCCTCCCTCCCTTCCACTCTCTCTAAAAAAATCAATGGAAAAAATACCCTCAGTGAGGATTAACAAAATAAAATAAAATAAGATAAGATAAGATAAGATAAGATATAAAATAAAATAAAATAAAATAAAATAAAATAAAATAAAATAAAATAAAATAAAATAAAATAAACAAAGTAACATTCAGGAGTGGACATCCAAGTAGCAGTATGGTCTGCTCTTCCGAAATTAATAACCATTTCTCTGATGTTGGCTGAATCCAAACAAAATAAAAAACACAAAAAGGCCTTGGCCAGTTGGCTCAGTTGGTTGGAACATCATCCCATACACCAAAAAGTGGTGGGTTCAATTCCCACCACAGGGCACGTACCCAGGTTGCAGGTTTGATCCCAGGTAGGGCGTGTGCGGAGGCAACCGATTGATGTTTCTCTCTCACATTGATGTTTCTGTCTCTCTCTCTTTCTCTCCCTTCCCCTCTCCCTCAAATCAATAAATAAAAACACACAAAAAGAACATATACCTGTAGATGCATTCCAGGAACCAGCTTCATAATCATAAATATAGACTTTCTGATTCACTACTAACACCAATACTGAACCAGCAAAATGTGCTGATGATACTTCTGGAATGCCAACCTACAAATAATGACACATATGGCATCAATAAGCACATCTTTTCGGGTATCAACTTGTGAAGCAATACTTCTAGACACGCATCCAAGAAACTTTAGTGCCAGCAGGAGCTGTTTAGTTCCTAGATATTGGGGACTATGTATCCTGAGGTCAGCTGGAACCAAAACTGGGAGGTTGAAATTGGTGTGAGGTTGCAATTGGTGTTTGGTGGCCTCAGGCACCTAAATTCACTCCATCTCCTCCCTAATCAAAACTTTCTCTGAGGAGGCCCTGACGGGTAGCTCAGTTGGTTAGAGCATCATCCTGATATGCTAAGGTTGCAGGTTCAATCTTTGATCTGGACACATACAAGAATCGACCAATGAATGTATAAATAAATAAATGAGTGGAACAACAAATCTACGTTTCTCTGTCTCAAAAACCCTTGTCTGAGGGTTAAACCTAAAGATAGATGCTGAATGAGGAGCATATATAATGAGCATAACTGTTGTTTCTAAGAAAAACATTGGTATTTAATAGATGGCGAAATTTCTTTAGCATAAGTACTAATGGTAGAGCTTCTCGAGACAGTTACTGTGGATAAAGGTTTTTCTGTTTTGGTTTAGGGCAATTTAGGGAGGCCCTGAAATTAGCGCATATAAGCTATCTATTCCAAACACACAACCAGCTATGGGGAGCACTGGCAACAAGTCTGCTTCCTTTTTCAGGGAAAAAAGGGTACTACTTTGGTAGTAAGGGCAGAATAGAATCAACCCTCCTTTTGGCTTAGAAATTGCTCTCAATGTCTTTAAGAGATACGTTTTGTAAAATAAACTCCAAACTAACAAAAAACAGACTAATGTGATATTTCCAAATTATACCTTTACCCTAAGTATTATGTATTTTGAGCATCCTTCAGATTGTTCCATATAATAACTACCTGCAATGACGTAGGGATGGAAAATGGAAAGAGACTGCTCTGAAAGTTATTTCTCGTCAAAAAAAGTTGTTGTCTGAAATAAACAATAAAAGAGTTAAATTAAGAGAATTTCACACAAGAAGAAGAAAAAAAAAAAAAGGCAAGCACTCTAAAAATGTTACACCCAAACAAAATTCCTTTTTAAATAAGAAGTCATTTAGGTTGTACCTGTCATCTATCTACCCATCATCCATATATGGCTATCTATTTTTGTATGAGTAAATTTCCATAGCCTGGGTATTTGAATTCTTGAAATAACGTGATTTTAAAAGTGTGACCATGTTGTTGCCATAGACAGTCAGTCCAAGTGTGGACAGCCAGCAGCAGGGTGGGCACAGGTTGGCTGGCCACTCTGGAGGGCTGGGACGTGTGAGCACTGCACAGAGGACGCAGGCATGCCAGCATCCAGGGGTGCCCCATGGACTCCAACTGGTTCCCCCGATGTGTGGATGCTGTGTCCAACATCAGGAGGTGGGCCTGACGGCGGGTCTTGAAGCCTCCACCCTCTGCCCGGCTCTCCACTGACCCTCATACCATAGACAGGCAGGGAGCTCCAGGAAGCCTCCCCCATTGGTCAAGATGTTGCAGGGGTAGATTCTTACACTGAATGCACCAAAATCTATAAAGATGGACAGGGCCTGAGCATGCCAAAAGCTAGAAAGATGAATGCACAGGGCCCAAGTGTGCCAAAAACAAACAAAATAATTGGTTTGCCCTAGCCAGCTTGGCTCAGCTGTTAGAGCGTCGGCCCATGGACTAAAGGGTCCCAGGTTTGATTCCTGCCAAGGGCACATACCTTGGTTGCAGGCTCAGTCCCGGCCCCACTGCATGGGAGAGGCAACCAATTGATGTGTGTCTTTCACATTGATGTTTCTTTCTCCCTCTCTCCTTTTCTTTCTCTCTCTCCCTCCCTCCCTCCCTCCTTCTCTCTGAAAAGCAATGGAAAAAATATCCTCTGGTGAGGATTAAAAAAAAAAAAAAGATAATTGGATAGAAAAAAAAGCCCTCCCCTGCCTATCCCTGTGGGCTTGAGCAGGCAGGGGGGGATTGTCTTTGAGATGGTAGTCCACCATTCTCCCAGGTCGCAGCACCTGAATAAATCTCTTTCCTTTTGCACCAGCACTAGTCTCATAAGTTTGGCTTTCATTGCAGCAGGCAGCCAAACTTACATTCTGGTTATAGTTTTTGATGACCCAGCTGGGACAGTGTGGACCTCAGTAAGTCCCAGACTGCCAGGTTGGGGTCCTAATTGCCTGTGGTTTCTAGGGAGCAGATGGACTCCATGACTGGGTAAGTCAAAATGGCATGTACACTGCGGGGTCCTTTATCCCTGTGCTTGGGTTTTGTGCCACTTGTTCTTCGCACCACTTGGGCTTCATGCCACTTGGGCTCTGTGCCACTTGAGTCCAGTCAGCACCGCTTGTGGTATAGGTTAGCAGGAGATAAGATGCTAGGACTTGCTTGTGAATGCTTGTTTAGAATAATAGAATTATGGATCCAAGTTTTATTCATATGTTCCCACTTTGTTTAGGGTCTTTTTATGGTTATGGTTTTGGGTTTGTACTTTCATGCCATCAGGGGTTGTTCTATTTTGACTCCTGAAGGAAGCCCACTGGGCTGAATCTACAGTTGATATCAAAACCAATAAAACATTGGGAGAAGGAAGAAAGGAACTCTGAAGCACGAACTGTGGAATATTATTTTGTTTATTTACTTATTTTTGGTTTTGGTTTTATTTTAGAACCTGGCATTGAGGTGGGTATTTCTTTTTTTTAATATTTTTAAAATTGATATAGGTTATTTCATGTTGTGTGGTTTTGTTTTCTTTGTCTGGGCTTTTTGGAAATCCTCCTAAACACAAATTACGTGGGCCCAAATCCTGCGCTGACTTTAGGATGAGGGGTGAACATCTTGGTATGGTGTACATATCTTCTTTTCTAATGTTGTATCCTATCACCTCCAAGTGCATGCTGGGCATGGTATCCATTCCTTTGAATGCTCTGCTCCAAGCCCATTCATATTTTGGGCCTCCTCTCCTCACAGTGAACTCCTAGTCATCCTTCAAAACCCAGTTTTGGCATCAATTCCCCAGTCAATACTTCTAGGCATTTTCTCCTTGGGTGCCCCCCCCCCCCCCCCCCCCCCCCCCCCCC